GCTTGTCCTGCTGTGGTCATCCAGCTCTACACCTTGTTATCTCTTCACTAGCAAATGTCAAGATTCACTCCCTCTTGGGGGTGAGAAGCCAAATGTTTGGTGTCCAACTAGCCAAACTGACCCTTTCAGGCCTGTGATGGACCATTTTTCCCTGGAATGAGAGAAAGGGAGGGATTGAGTGATATGAAGATCAGTGGCATAGCTGTCCGAGCTGGTGGAGCCGGGCTGAGTAAGTGGGGTGTCCCAGGTGGGTGAGTAGGCAGTGCAGACGGCATACAGAATTTGTAGAAAGGGGTATTGGGTGGATGCCAGTGAATGAGGTATATGGATATTGCATACCATAATGACAGTGGCAGAACATATGCCTTAGTATGTGGAGGTGCAACAGCAGAGATGGAGTGAATGTGAGGGTAGTACAGTTGGAAGTTGGAGATGCTTACCCTGATGGAACAGGGAAGGTTATTGATGTTTTTCTTACAATGCTGGGTGTTACTCCAGTCCACAGAGATTATATTGGCCTGGGTGATGACCTCACACCAGACTGGTAAGTTCTGCTGGTCTAAGAAGAGGGCAGCCTTCTTCTATACAATCTCATATGTCAGGACCTTGAAGACCTTGTGCTTAAACAGTTGCACTGATTTCCTTTTATCTGCCATGTCTGGAGGCAGATGTCACAAATTCTGCAGGACAGCTTTAGACTATCAGCCCTTGATTTGGTGCACAACAGTCTTTAAAGTTGGCACTGGTACCAGAAACCCTGAGGTCCCAGCTGTGGCAAGTGCTTCCAGCTATGGTGAGTGGAAGTACCAGGGTAGCAACAGATGAGAGGGACCTCATAAAAGGTGTAGTAGAAAGTTATTGGAGCATGTTGGAGACAGTCATTCGAGAAAACTCTCCATGAAACCTGGCAAAAGTGACACTTCTCCAAATTATGGTAAGAGTCAGCCCTATATATTTAATAGGGTAATTTGGGTTTAACCATCTCGGTGGAGAACTTGTAGTGTTCTCGAGCATCTGCCGCCTTATCCTTTGATTGTAGAGTTTGCACATTTGGAAAGTGCTTTCAGAATAGCTTTGGTGAGTTAATTAGTTCATTTAGTACAAGGTACATCCTCCCGCTAAAATGTGTTGGTGGCAAAGAGAGTGAATTTTAAAGGTGGTGGTTGGCGTGCGAATCAAGCCATTTGCTTCATCTAGGATGGTCGCAAGGTTCTTAAATGTTGCTGGAGCTGATCTTATCCAGGCAAAAACAGCATATTCCATCAGTTATGTTTTGTAGATGGCGAATAGGTACTGAGGAGAAAGGAGGTGAGTTAACTTGGTGCAAGATGTCCTAGCCTCTAACCTTGTGTAATTCTCTAAGCACAGTGGTGATGACCAAATCTGATTTTATACAAGTTAGGGTATGTGTAACTAAGATTTGGATGACCTAAATTTTACAGTCGGTAGAATGTGGGCATCCAGCCAAGAGTATATTAGAATCATCAGGTTTCAAGGTAACAGGCACGAACCAGAGTTTCAGTTGGAGAATTACTGAGTCAGGAGCAGAACTGTGCAGTGTTATACCTAAGGAAATAAATGGCCTTAGTACTGCTGTAAATATGCAATTAAGAGTTCATCTTGAGGTAAAATAACACCAAGGTTGCAACAGTGTGGTTTAGTTGAAAACAGTTGCTTGGGAGAGGTATGGAATTGCAGGTGGATCCTCAAACGTGCTCTATCCCTGAATTTGCAATTTTCCCTACTTTCCCTCCCATTCACATATTTTCTTCTAATTGAGTCCCACTGTACTGCTGAACACCCATCTTTCGTTTCTAGCTCCTATATTCTCTCTTTTAAATGTCTCCCACTTATTCAAATCAGCCATTATTAGCCCTCTCCTTAAAATATAAATTGTTCAACTTCACTGATTTTACAAACTATTTCCCAATCTCCATACCTCCCTTTCACCTCCAAAATCCTTGAAAGTATATTTGAATCCAAAATTAATTTTTTTTTGTTCCACAATCAATGCTTGAATTCTTCAATTGGATTTGCACCATTTCTTGACTTCTGAAACAGTTCTCAAGGTCATACTGCTTTCATACTACTCTACAGTTTTATAGCTGGGTGGAACTACAATCCCTGGCTCCATCCTTATCTCTCCAATAGCTTATCTGCTGGTTCCTGAATCCCTGGTATCTTCCATGCATCTATCTTTGGTCTTTCCTTATTTCTCATTTATGTGCTGCTACTTGGTGACAGCATCCAAAACATCCAAAAACAGCATCCATCTTCA